CCCACTCTAGACTCTAATGATCCGAACCGGGTTTTGGATCTAGCCCGACTCGACTCTAAGCAAATGACTCATTCAATAGAAAAATGGGACGTTACAAATTGACAGTCCAACTTGAAAAAGAATGAGGAAAAACCACACTGAAGCTTTAACCTTTTAACATAAGAGGTAGGCTACTTTTTGTCTCCATAAGGAAGCAAAAACAATGGGCTTTATTGCACGAATAAGATCCTTGTACGAGGCACTCACTGGCCCGAGGGTTTTAACCCATCCCTCGGCAGTTCCGAGGCATAAGAACGTCATGGCTGCTCGGTGGCCTTAAGTGGATCCTTTAGAGCACTCACTGCCCGAGGGTTACCCATCCCTCGGCAGTTCCAGCATAAGAACGTCATGGCTCTCGGTGGCCTTAAGTGCTAGGGCTCGCTGCTTTAATACTACTGCTTACTTTCTCATCAATCTGCATGGTTAGATAATCTGCTTAGCTTCCGCACCTAGAGCATCTTCAATGAAGTCTTCATCATCAAGAGAGATTTGAAAAACCATTCGGAGAAGAAAAGAATTAACTGATCGATAGATGCGCTCATGCAATAGCAAGAAAGTCTACATGCATAGCGCAAGATACAATATATTTAACTTGAAGGAGTCATAGTATGGGAATCAAGCACAGGGCTCGAATTACTTTTCATCATTCTGTTTCTTTCTTTTTTCTTTACCTTTTACTTTTTTTTTTTCTTTCTTTTCTTTTTCTTTTGCTTTTGACTTTTTTCTTTTTCTTTTGCTTTTTCTGTTTCTCTTTCGTTTTCTTTTTTTTTTCTTTTTTTTTTTTAATTGTTCACAAACATAAGAAGGAATAAAAGTGACCGATAGGGCCCACAATGGAGATCTGGTCGGTCCAGTGGAATCCTGTCCGGCGACAATCTCTCTTCCTCATCATCTACCTCGACCACCATCCTTTTCCGGTGGATCTTCACCATGTGGTGGCGTTACCAACACCAAAAAACGTGGGTCGTGGTGGGATGAACCACCCAAGAATTGGACATGCCCATCAGCTTGCTCGTAAAATTCGCAAGAGTTGTGGTTGGAACCAAGAATCCAATAGAGCGAATCAATAAATTGAAACTGAAAGTGCAGCCTTCACAGATGGTGTTCAGTTATACAGAACTGAATAATATCTAAGTTTTTGATTATTGCAGGAGAGACGAGCACAAGACTTTCAAGACTACTCCAGGGAATTAGCAAGAAGACAGGACCAAGAAATGGAGATTAATCGAGAAAAACAACACAAAACCTGGTATTCCGAGTCAGAGAGCAATATCAGTTCTCCCCCCATCTTTGCTTCGATTAGCCCACTTAAAGGTTACTGATAGAATATCCTGCATTTTGGTGTTGATATATATATTATACATCATAATATATAACATCAATTATGTCCTTAATGGCCATTTTATATTTTAATAGTAACCACTATGAAAATTTTACCAAACATGAATAGTAATAAGCTAACATCTATCAGTTATCAGTTAGTATGAACCATTGAACCAAATGGTCTTAAAATACTATTTATTATATTTTTACTATATTTCTTTATGCTAAAAGCGAACTTTTTTTTTTTATTACTATGAATAATGTATTTTTAATTTTAGCATTTTATTTTTTAATAGTATGAGTTAAATATTCATGTTACTAAGAAATAATTTTTGCATAAAGAAGTATAATAGAAATAAAATAAAGGATATTTATTCTTTTTATTAAAGATTAACAATCACGAAATGATTTATGAGTCCAATCGAAGCAAATATAGGAATGTATTAATATATTTTTGAAAAGGTAGAAAATTTCCTCATCACTTTTAGAAAACATCAAAAGCCAGGTAAAAGTGTATTATTCTTCATTAGGCAAAAAAAAAATACACAAAAAACAAATATAAACATTTTTCCATTTATAAATAATAAACTTTCATAAACTAAAATATTTTTCGCTCTTTTTTAATTATCTTATAAATACAATTTTATAAATTGAAATATTCAATAAGTTTAATTTTCTAGGTTAAGTTTTTTATTTTTTTTTTAAGAAGATTTTCTAGGTTAAAATTAAAGTATTCAATTAGTATAATTTTATATGTTGAAGGATATAATAGATCAACATAAAAATTGATTGAGTTATTAAATTTTTTTTATAATATCATGTACCCTTTTATGCTTTTTATTTTACGCATATTTTGGGGCTTAATTTCACGCATTGTCCTTGCACTATTGGCCTTGTCAATTTATAGGCTCGATGCTTCAATTCATTACTTACAAATCCTTCAGCTATTATTAGAGTAACATCAAAGTATTTTTGTGAATTTTCTAGTCATAAGCCGATTGAAAGATGATGTTGATGGATTTTTTCATGAAATAATTAAGAAAAATGCCACAACAGCCTCATTAACGGGCAAAATAACTCCTTTCTAACACCACTCCCTCAATCACATCACTGCCACCACTAAAATCAAAACCTCCTTCATTTCTTCACACAATGTGATTTCTGCCCAGTGCTTTGAATGTCAAAGTGAAGAAATTCAATCAATAATGAATAAATGATGGGAGTAACCATGACTCTATTAAGATAGCCAAATGCCTCGTCATCTGCCTCGTCATCTAATTAGTGACGTGAATGAATGGATTAACGAGGATTTCACTGTCCTTGTCTACTATTCAGTGAAACCACAATCAAGGGAACGAGCTTGACGGAATCAAAGGGAAAAGAAGAACCTATTGAGCTTGACTCTAGTCCAACTTTGTGAAATGACTTGAGAGGTATAGGATAAGTGGGAGTTGAAAGGTGACAGTGAAATAGTATTACTTTTATTTTCTTATTCCGTGAATCGGAGGCAGGGCTATGCCCCACTTTTTGGACCCAAGTTGTTAGGTGTAGAGTTTGACTAGGGCGGTACCTCTGTTAAAAGATAATAATGAAGAAAGAAATTTAAGTAGAGAGAGATTGGATTTGTATGTACAATAAAGCCGAAGGCAAAGGAGAACAATACAGATCTAGAGAGAGGGCTAAGGTTAAGGATTTCAATGGGAGTGGTGATGGCAGGGATGAGAAAGGAGAGAGGAGAGAGAAGAGAGAGATGACATACAGCTTAGTAGGAGAGAGAATCAAGAGAAAGTATTTAGTTGATCTTTGAATAGTTATTTGATAAAAAAATCTACCAACTATCAGTTGGTCCAGTGGGATGAGGCACTGCATCCCTTGAGCGACGTCCAAGGTTTGAACTTGGCATTGTGAATGGAAAAAATTGGATTGGGAGGGTCGCCCCCATAATGGACCTCTGTAAAACCCGAATCCCGATTAGTAGGCTGTGCCGGATACCGGGTGGTTTACCAAAAAAAAAAAATCTATCCACATCATCTTTCAATTGTCTATGCAATTGGTGACAGAATGACGGGTGATAAGCTCAAAATTTGGCTTTTATATATTTTTAAACCAATAAATCATAGAAGTCGAAATTCATCAACTAATCGACTCTCTAAAAAACTCATAAAATGAGTTGGAATAAAGGTTAATTTGGCTCCTCAAAATAAAGGTTAATTTGGCTCCTGAACTTGCTTAGCAAGAAAAAAAATGTCAGATTTGACCTTTTAAGTCAATTTAACTCTAAATTTATATAAAATGATTAAAAAGATTTGATTTCACATTTTAGATCAATTTAACCCTTGAATTTTGTATAAAATGATTAAAAAAATCTCAACTACAGTTTTAATAAATGTCTATATGATGAGTTTTAATAAATAAGTTCAGGGGTTAAATTGGCCTAGACAGTGAAATCGGATATTTTTAATCATTTTATACAAATTCAAGAATTAAATTGGCCCAAAAGGTCAAATTTGATATTTCTGATCCTGCTAAACAAGTTCATAGACCATATTGATCTTTATTCCAAATGAATTCAACAAATAACAATCTTTTTCAAAAAGCAAATTAAGGCCTTGTTTGGTTAGATTAATTCAGCTAGGGAACTTTCAATTTCCAAAAATTGTGAAAATCTAACTTTTTTTTTGTTTTTGGTTAACATAATTATCTAACTTCCGAAGTGGTGAATCTACTTTTTTTCCATATAGGAAGTAAGTTTCCAAGCGTAACTATTAACTATTGACCATAAAATTGTCCTACTTCTTGTGTAAACTCAATGAATAAATAAGGACCCAAGCATATACTTTACTAAAAAAAAAAAAAAATTTAGGGCAGCTTCCATATTTATTTTTACTTACTAAACACATCAACTTATAAAATTATACCTATTAAATATTTAACTTATAAATTATAAAATTAGATCAATTAAACACTTATTAGATGGTTGAAAAATAAAAAAATTATTGTTTTCAAGATTACACTAACCATATATGAAGTAAATATATTGTACGTAAATGCCAAAAATATTAAAAAACTGTTATTGCTAACATGGAGAGTACTCTATTATCAAAATTCGTGACTTTTAACATAATAAACCCCTCGCTTCGCGTGCCATAAAATTTTTTCCGAATTTATGGATTTGAACAATAGATAAAGCTCCTTTGACATACGACCCGAATTCTAACATGCAATAAATATAACCTTAAGACTCGATGAATCTAGGCCAGGTCGACGCAGCACGACCCATCTTACACCTCTGCATTAGCACAATGAAACAGCAATACTTCATTTAACTTTGTTTCCCACACAAAAAAGAAGTTCTTTTAAATTAACCTCATCATGCTTGTGATACTAAAATTCAAAACATAATCAGTAGCCATCCAAGCTCTTCTTTTGTGATTCCAATTTTAAAAACTTTCTTCATTTTAAGAAGTTTTTGATTGATGTAAAATATAAAATAGGATTCAAATTTTTGCAACTTTCTTCCTCTTGACAAATTTTGGATGTGCCAAGAAAAAAATCTGCAACATTTTGGACACAAGAAGGAAACAACAAAATTAGAAGGGAAGAAAAGGAAATAAAAATTACTGAAAAGTAAACCAGGGTAAGTGTAAAATTTACTGCTGTTATTTACACATGATTTGTAAGCTAAAATTATGCAGTCTGTGAAATCATATGAATAGAATAGCACTAACCTTCAATTCTTCTGAAACAGAGTGTAAAGATATAATTCAATCATGTATGCATCTAATTAAAGAAAAAGAGGCTTTTCATATTCCAACTTTTCATTCTCTGATTTTCATGTCCAGACCAATCCCATTTGTAGTGCTAGTAACCAACATATAACCTTCCTTACTAAACTCAAATTTTCTGTTCTTGCTGCTCTTCCTTTTCGCGGTCCCTTCTGCCAAACCAAAAGCATCAACCATCTCAAATTCCTTTGCTTTTTTTTTTTTTTTTTTTTTTCTTAATATGAGAAAATTGAGTTAATTCATACATAACAGCAACATTTAATGGAGTTTTCTTCATATTTTTTTTTTCTTTTTCATTATAATTCTTTAAATTAAAGTAAGCTGCTATCTCCATTATCCAAAGCCAGTTTTGGATAATTTGCTGAAAGATATAGAGAGAGAGTCAACAGCAAGTTTCTTCAGCAAAAGAAGAAAATGGAGAAATGAATTGCAGATGGATTCTGCTACAGCAGCAGAAAGAGTAGATTTTATTTATGGGTAATAATTGAATACATAAACAATGATGCAGACACCCAGCACACAAGTTTGGTGCAGTGGTGGCATTTGCTTATTTAGTATCCTTAATCAATTGTGATTTTTTTTTTTTTTTTTTTTTTTTTTTTTTCCTTACTGAAGCTAATTCCTGCTATAGGTTTGATATTAAAAATGTAAATTAGTATGAATTTTTGAGTTTTTTTTTTTTTTTTTTTTTTCCTTACTGAAGCTAATTCCTGCTATAAGTTTGAATAATAAAAATGTAATTAGATGAATTTTGAGGCAGTAAATCTATACTTCTGGGTGATCTTGTGGGGTTAAACCGGTGATGGGACAGGTCGGATTGCAAGGGTAGGCACAATCTATCTTCTGGACCGAAATCCTGTCATAAAACCAATCTCCAACTGCCTTTGCAATTTTCTGCATGAAATATATTTTGAAATGAAAAACAGATGATTTTCCTAAGCTTAAGAATAATAATAAATGAGAAGGAAAGACGCAAGGAGTAAGATGCAGAACACAAATAATTAATCATAATGAAGGAGAAAATTAGCAGTTTCTTACACTTCTGCCGAGAACTGGAGAGTCAGCCATGAACCACGTCTCCTGTGTTTCACTTTGGCAATGGATGTAGCAAGAGTCTATATACAATCCTCGGGAAGAAGAGGTGGTTGATCTATACAATGCATTCAAGAACTGCAACCTAAAATCTGAAAATAGACCAAAGATAAATTCAGAGACAAATTTTTTAAAAGCAAGTAGTAAATGCTACGAGTAAACTTTTCTTCATCGAACCTTAAAGGTTTTTAAAGGAATGGCAAGAAGGACATCTCAGATGCAAATAAAATTTGGTAAACATTTTCATGTTTGGTTACCTATGAAAGCATATCTCAAAAAAGGTCGTTAAGACAGTAGCAAAAGAAACTAAGGAAATGGGAAATAGGCTTAACAGAAAGCATTGAAGGAAAGCATAAAGCAAGGGAGTTGCACAAAGTGCTGAGACAAGTCATGGCTGCCTTTCCAGCTTAGTTGATGGACAATTGTAAAAACAATTAGAAGTTTTTCTTTCATATAATTTTTTTGATGAAAATGTTAAAACTCTATTCTTGCAATACCCTTCAAATTTTTTTACTATAATTACTAAAAACCAGATAGAGAATTTGAACTTGGAGAATTGCCTACCTTGCATGGTTTTGAGTTGAAGAAGAGAACAATTGCTTATGTCAAGCTTGCAGCCTTTCCAAGCGCCATGAGGATCAGCAACCCCAGGTGCCAGAATATTCTTTATCTAAAGGAGAAGTACATCACATATATAATTCCCATTGGTGAAGCAAATAACGGAAAAAAAAACTTTAATTAATGCCCCCATTTACTCTGTGAGATAAATGGATTTCATTCAAGCAACTGTGATCAATTAGAATGGCTCTGTATTGTGATTGGGATCAAACAGCAGAAATTTTGCCTTAAATAAAAACTAATTGTAAATTTTCAGAGAAAACAATACCTTTATGAAATAATTATTTAATAACAACATAAGCCATTTTATGAAAAAATCGTAAGTACCAATCCATGTCTTGACTGAGAATTAGTAATGTGCTAACCTGCCATGAATCATATGCTGCATTTAGAATAAAAAGAGGGGTCCGTATTTGCTGCACCACATATTGTGGGAAGAAACACTGTATATCATTGAGAAGTATCATTTTATCAGTGGTACACAGAGGAAACATTGATGAGTGAAAGTGACATAAAAAATTTTTAAGAAAAGAACATTTACCAATGCAGGTTTCAATCTTGAAGTACAGGAAAGAGGCAAATTTTTAGCTGATCCCTATGGAAAAAGATTAGAAAAGTCTGAATCAAGAGTCCACTCTCCATTCTAACAGAATTTACCCTGGCATTAAACTCTCTTGGTTGCTACTACATTGTTTTAAAACAAAGTAAAGAGAGAGGGCATACATGCAGTGAAACAACTTCATTGAAGTAGTTTTGTATGTGTGGTGCTCCAGAAACGTCCCTTCTGTTATAAAAATACTAGACATTAGATTTAGAAAAGATTTACAATGACATGCATAGTTTTGGATATAGCATCAGGGTATAAGGTCCCATCAATGAGCTTACACATTGATAAAATAACCAGCATCTGAAAGACATTTTACATTAGTACCCATAGGTAAGAGAGCTTGGAAGCTATCACAGTGCAAAATGGAAGCCAGTCCACCAGCTGAGCAACCGGAAAGAAGAGCCTGTGGTGACATATTAAAACAAGTTAATAGAGAAGGGTATTAGAAAGAGATACAAGTGGACAATCCTTCAAATGAATCTTACATTTTCAGCATTTTTCATTCCTTTAGCTAGAAGATCCTCAACGACAGCAAGCCAAATCCTTGCTCCTCTGAAGTGAAGGTTAGTAGCCTGGTCAAATTACTATCTGATTAAAGAAAAAAATTCTGCCATTTTTAAGCTGGTTTCTTCTAAATTTTATTAACTTACAGGATTAACTTTTTGCACATCACCAGTAAAGGATGAGCCATCACAATATCTGATCTTAACTCTATTCCAGTTGTAGAAATCTAAGTTCAGATAAAAGTGCAATCAGTATATATTAAAAAAAGCAGCAAAGTTTAAGCAAAAGATGTAACAGTCAAAATTCAATAACAATATCTAATAATGAAATATGCAGTGATACCTGGATTAAATTGTCTTCTGTTGTTCAAAATCCCAGAGAAAGCAATTTGAGTTGCCATTTGCTTAGATGAACCTAAACGAGTATTCTTGCGGGAAAGGCAGGTTGTCACATTGTTGCACCACCCTCCTCCCTTAAAACCAAGACAGAAAAGGCACCATAATAAGATTGGATACAGAATCAGACGGTTTCCGACATATATGATCTAATAAAGCTTTCTAGAAATAAACAAATGATCTTCATCTTTCTAATATGTCATTTTGTTCATGAAATCAAATGCTTCTATCATCATCTATAACCAAAAGATTGGCTCCTCTAATATCCATGAAGTAGGATCCAAGAAACTTCTTTTCAGGAAAAATAAAATAAGATAGATTTTCTCTTCACCTTCAATAAATCAATCACAACATTATGTTTTTGTCTCTTTTGCTTGCTTAAAGAATCTAGTATTAAAATAATCCTCATTAAAAGAATACACACCTCAAAGTGAACCAACCAATTATTAATGCCTGTACCAAACCCCTTATCTAAATGGTAAGCTGGAGGGCTTCCATCCAAACAAACTGCAAAAATATCAAATTTCAAAATTCACAATTTTAAATGAAAAAAAAAAGAGTAGACTAATATTATTTAATTTAATCAGATTATAGAACACTTACCAGCTCCTTTAGCGACCGCATTCCTAACATAAGTAATTCCCACATAAAGACCTTCTATCTTGGAAACAAACAACAACAAACAAGCTAATAGATTCAACCATTTGCTCAATTTTGGATCTAACATCCTGCACAGAACAAAAAAAAAAAAAAAGTGATTCCTTGAATAGGAAATACAACATTTTACATTAAGAAAAGCAAAAAACTAAATAAATAAATAAAAAATAAACCAGAAAAGGCAATAAGAAGCATTAAAAACAAATAAATGAACAGCTACAAAATTTTACATTAGAGGAAAATCAGTTCTTGATGATTAGAGAATCAAAACAGATTATATGAGCTACTACAGATCTATACTTATGTATGTTATTATGAATACCTAATTATTAGATACATATTCAAATCACACAATGAGATTATTTTTAACTAAACAAACCCAAAAACATTGAACCCAATGTAGAAAAAGGAAAAGCACAATCAAGAACCAAAATAACAGTAGTTCCTTCAAATATTGTAATTATTAACAGCTTAAAAATAGACTAGCTATACTTCTTCCATTGGAGGAAAACAAAAGAATAAGCAAATAAACTATATAAAGAAAACATCAAAATTCTATAAGCATATAAACTACCATAACCACTATTATTATATTTATATATATAATTTCACAAGGGAGAAAAAAAAAAAAAAAAAAAAATAACACACTATTATTATATTTATTATATATTAATTCACAAGGGAGAAAAAAAAAAAAAAAAAGACATCCAAAAAAAAAAAAAAAAAAAGACAATCCAAAACTTTACTGCTAGATAGCCATTTTCTTACACAGTATCATCCTTCCAATTTCCAGAAAGACATTTCAACGAACTTGCATGATAACCATAATAACAGAGAGATTAAAGAAAAGCCACAGTGCTTATTATGCTAGAATCACTTAGTCTACCTGCGAGAGAAAAGAAATCTCAAGATGGAACAGTTTGCGAGAGAATGTGAGGCAAACACAGTTCAGTGCATTGGATTTTAAGTGTAAAAGAAGAATCTCCAGTTGATTCTAGCCACGGTAGGTGGTGGAAACGACGGTGAGAGTTTACAGGCTAGAACTGTTTTCCTGGAGAAAGCGCTTTTCGGGAAAGTGCTTTTGAGGCCAGCGCAAAAACCCAATAGCCGACACTTATTCGCCTAAAACGCCTAAAGCGTCAATTTATTAGGAAAAGGTGAGTTGTAATTTTATATGGGCTATGTCTCGGGTTACGGGCCAACAACCCGACCCGAATGTACAACCTTCGTACCGAATCTTATTGAGCTACGCGCTCTATAATGAGAATGTGTGGCAGTCTGGCGGGACTAATAATTTTTAAATTTAAATGCTAATTTTTATTTTTTTGATAATATAAAAAGACAATCAACAAGTAACTAACAATATCTCGAGGATAAGCAACAACTGAACTATCATGAGTAAGCAAAGTTCAAATACCAACAGTCACTGATGTGAAACGGATTTAAATACAAACCGTCGGTTTAGCTTTATTTCATTTAACTAACGTAATAAACTGAATCTATCGCAAAAGATTTTTAATTAAAAAATTCAAAGAAAGCTTTTAAAAAAATAAACTCTCAAATCCAATAATGACTCGAAAGTCTATTAACACACATGTTGACTTTCCGGTACTTAAATTTTGTGAATGATAATATTTGTCGTGAAATAAATATGTAATATGTATTCATTGTAAAAGTTAAAAAGTAATACAATAAAAACTTTCACAAGATTGCTTTGTATTTTTAAATTCTAATTCTTATTTTTTTTAAAATAAAATAATTTAGTAATTGTTTAGGTAAAAAGGACTTGCATAAACAAAGATTAGTATATGATAGAATTTGTATCTATGTAGGCTTTGAGAATAAAAACTCTCAAACCCTTTTTTCTTTTCTTTTTTTTTTTTTTTTTTTAATTGATATTAGGTTAGAAAGGACTTGTGCAATAGAAGCAAAAGTATTAGTATTATGGTGATAGTAATTTGTATCTATGTGGCTTTTGAGAATAAAACTCTCTAAACACATATTTTATCTTTCTTTTTTTTTTTTTCCTACTCATCTACTTCCTCTTCTCCTTTGTATTAGCTATCGAAATTTAATATAATTTGCTCAATTTCTCTTTTAATTTCTCGTATTTTTCTGTTTTTTGTGCTTGACATCCCAAACAGATACAATATGAGCTCCAGCGAGTCAGAATTGCACCTAGGATTAGGCTGAATTCGCTAGACTGAACGAGCCTGAGAATTCAAAATACCAAGTAAGCACAGCATAATAAATTAATTGCTTCTTCAATGGTAATCCTTCAACATTAGCAATTTTTTTATTGTCCAATAAGGGTGATACAATTTATTTTTAGGTTTCTGCATAATATTTGTTGTGGTATTCTTTTATTGTGTATATGGAAGTTGTGCACTGGGTATAGTGAAAATATTTATACCACTTATGTTTTATATTATATACTCTAAATTTATTATATTCGCGGATATATGTTCTTTTCATTATGAAATTAATGTCTTTACTGGCAAATAGCATGCTTTCTCAAGACTTGTTATTAATAAGATGAGGGTTGGCTTTGTCGCCTGTGTGTGTGTGTTGTGTGATAGATTACTCTAACAAAAAGACGATAAGCAATTACTGGACTTATATCACTATTTTTGAATACTCAAGAAATAAAACAGATTGCATTGGATTCAATCTGAAAAAAGATAATAGTTTAAGTATAAACATGTCAGAATTTATCCTAATAATTTTATATCGAACGCTATTCACATATGGACAAATTGAGGTATGAATTACTGTATAATTATTGAAAATCGCCTTACTTTCATTTCTTACTATTAGGATTTTTCTACATACAGCTATCAGAACAATAAAGTACAATTAAACAAGTATTATATTATTATGTGTAAAAAAAAATACATTTTTTTTATTACTTACCTCTATTACTGTTGTTTCTCCTTTTTTTTTAATAATTATATGGTAGACATTCGTTCGTCTTTCATTATGGCGGCATTGTAGCATATTTATTTCCAGTGAATGCCATATGTTGTTGTTAAAAAGTGTTATTGTAGCATTTTGTTTATACTGCCGGTCCATTCGGGACATTTACGTCAATCATATTCTGGTTAAATTTATTCTACTTCTCTGTCAGTTTACTAGATTTTAACAAATAACTTACGATTACTTCTCTCTGTTGTACTTGTTAAGTGGTAGGCTCTGCTGCACATTTTATAGATTTTACAAATAATAACATTTACTCTCTCCGTTGTACCCTTAATTTGAGCTTGGCTAATAGCCAGTGTTTGGTGGGGCTTAGTTGCCTAGGCTTTCTTTCATGCTGGGGCAGCTTCCTCCCCCAGGCCTATATTGTTGTTTAATTCTGATTGCAGGCTCGCCATGGAATCCTGTTAGGTTCTTGTGCCGGACGTCTTTTTAGACGGATGATGAAGTGCTGGATATTTAGAGTTTCATTCAGCATGTAGATGCTCTCAGGACCAATTGCGTCCAGCTCTGAGTCAGGTTTTTGGGCTATTCCGGTTGTTTTGTACGTGCTTTTGCTGAACTTCGCATTTGCATGGGACAAGAACTGTGAAAGTCATCTTTGTGTGCCAAACTATTCTCAGTCTCGCACTCATACTGTGAATGTTCTTTTGTGTCACATTTTATAGATTTTACAAATAATAAATTACTCTCTCTGTTGTACTTTAATGGAGCTGTCACATTTTATAGATTTTACAAATAATAAATTACTCTCTCTGTTGTACTTTAATGGAGCTGTCACATTTTATAGATTTTACAAATAATAAATTACTCTCTCTGTTGTACTTTAATGGAGCTGTCACATTTTATAGATTTTACAAATAATAAATTACTCTCTCTGTTGTACTTTAATGGAGCTGTCACATTTTATAGATTTTACAAATAATAAATTACTCTCTCCGTTGTACTTTAATCGAGCTTCGGCTAATAGCAGTGTTTTTGGGGTCTTAGTTGCCTAGGCTTTCTTTCATAGCTTGGCAGCTTCCTCCCCCAGGCTATATTGTTGTTAATTCTGATGGCAGCTCGCATGGGAATCCTGGATTAGCTTCTTGTGCCGGAGTCTTTAGACGGGATGATGGAAGCTGGATATTAGGTTTTCAGTATGTGTTGGGAACTTGCTCAGCTCTGGAAGCAGGTTTTTGGGGTGTTTTGTACGCTCTTCGCATTGCATGGGACAAGAACTGGAAGCATCTTTTGGTCCAAACTGATTCTCAGTCAGTGATTTCTTTGATTCTACAGAATTCTCCTTGCTCTTTCCGCCTGGGAAACTTGGTCAAGTAGTGTCGTCGTTTGCTTAGTCTTCAATGGCAGGTCCAAGTGGTTAAGATTTTCAGGGAAGCTAACATGGTGGCTGACAATCTTGCGAAAGAAGCTTTGGATGGTCTTATTGGTTTTGCTATGCTGGATTCTTCCTCATCAGATGCTAAACGTTATTTAGAGGCTGATGCTGCTGCGGCCATTTGGCCTCGCGTGATGAATTAATGGGTTTACTCCCTCCTTACTTAAAAAAAAAAAAAAAATATTAACTATTTCCATAACTAATACTAATTTATTTTTTCCATTGTTAGTTGGCGTTCCCAATCGATCCAAATCAATCTTTTGGTTAAGGGATTTAAATCATTTTTTATTTAAACCAACCACATTGATCAATTAATTTCTTTTTAATGAGAAAAGGGAGAAGTCTAGAGTTTAAAGTTTAAAATTAGACTAATGTTGGAATTATAAATCAAAGAGGTTTTAATAATTCAATAACTTCCCAAATATATTACATGAAAAAGGAAAATAATAATGGAAAAAAAAGATTCTGAGCGATAATAATTTGATTTTTAGGATTTTTCATGTTTTTTTTTCATAGCATACGATAGTATTACATAAGTTTTATATATATATATATATATATTTTAGTACTGACCGACGAAACTCGAATTTAAATTTATTGGCGGGTCATACATAGACTTCCAGTTAGATGTGGCTATCATATGAGGTGCAATGAATTTCATATTTGAGTACATGACAAATGTTTGCTTAACAAGTTAATTACTTAATTAAGTTGTGCTTAAGGCGTGGCCAGTTGTATTGACTATTGTTGTTGCTTCTGTTTTTAAAACAACGTAACGATTGTCAACCTGCATAACATGATTGGTAAATGGGCCCCACCACGAATGAAACGTGGCAAGCAATTAGGCGAGATTCATTGGACGAAGTTAGCTCGCCCATCGCCAGCACGTGATTGACGGTGATTTGCTTTTTCTTAAGTGGGTCCCTAATAAGTTGGTGTCATGCACTGCACTGCACTATAACGATTCCATTTAGACTGCTCGCGAAATAAGAAATGAGGTTGTATTTCCATAAACGCATAACAAAGCGCGTGAAACATACCCATAAGCGGATACATTTGCGTTGCGTAAGGAAACTCATCATTTATGTCAACTTTTTTTTCTTTTCTTTTCTTTTCTTTTGTTTTATCATAGTCCCTAAATTGAATTTAATTTCACAGTTTTTAATTTTTCAAAAAAAAATTCACATTTTTCTTAATTTAGAGAAAATTTTCATTCTGAATGTTTACTTTATACATAGAATTTTACTCTAAATGAAAAATTTAAAAATGATATTAAAAAAGAAAGTCTAATATGCTTTTGATTAACCACTGTTACTATCTCTTTTTGGCTCAATCGAGCATAGTGCCAGACAAAAAGTTGATTGAACAATTAATGATTTTATGTTTCCAAAGCATGAGTAACAGCTTAAGAGCGATTTTGTATAAATGTATCCGATTTTATAAATCTAAGCATGAATAAAGGTACTGGCTGGATTTCATAATATAACCACATTTTTTAATTATTGCACTTTGCTTATAAAAAAAATTTTTATATCCATATTACACTTTTAATTTTGCTAATAAATGCAGTCTTGGAATACTCTATAGATGAGTTGGCTTACTCATCAATCATTACTATGTATTTAAAAGACTGATTAGAGGTATTATAGGTAAAAAATGGAAAAAAAAAATTCTGTTTAACTACTTCCTTAATCCCATAACTTTTTCTATTTTATCTAAAGTAAGAATAGAAGGAGTAAGAAAATTATAAAATTACTTTAATTTTAAAGAAATGAAGATAATTGATTAAATAAAT